ATAGGCCACATATAGGAACAGTGGTTGCGCAGTGTTGTGGGTGTCTAATAAATAATAATCGTTACAAATGGAAAGCATCATGGTGCGCTCAATTTGGGCGCAATGAAAGTGTGTATTTCGCTGTACGCGTGAACTACCGATAAGATGAAGGGACAGGTCGGTGAAATGGTGGGTCGAGTAGACGCCGGTTCCGTTTGCGGTGAAGTCTGTGTTGTGTCGCGAGTCGTCGCCGCAGACTAAGTGGCGATAAGTCTCACAACTCGTGTGATTGTAATTGCATTTCGAGTGCGTCCAGAAGCCCACGAATGAGTCGAAGCCCCGGTATGTGGGCGTGTATTCTCGTCGCGCGAATCCTAACCCCCATTTGCCTATTGGTTGCGATCATGAGAAAAGCATAAGGCGTGATCCACAAAGTACATACGCAAGCCTAGGGGGAAGGGGTCATGAATTTACAGATACGGTCACTTCTATCCCGGGTCGGCAAAAGTTGAATATCTTTTGATTGGATTTTCCAATCATTAATCCGTTTTCACCATATTGTAGCTGGATAATGTCAAAATCTGGTGATATACTATTTACCATACAAATTCATCAGGATAACTTAGGAATTTAACTTTAATGTTGGACCAACATTTCTCACTGAAATAACATGGAGGTTTTACTTCACTTTTCATAATTTATTCTAAACAGTCTCAATTTTTAAATTACTGTATGTTGGTCATTTTTATTGAGATTTTTATAATTCCCACATCATTCTGTTTGTCATTAAAGTGCACATTTTATGATTTTTTGAATTTTTAAAATTTACCAAAAATCCGTTTCTAACTTTTTAACCATAGGTTCTAGAACAAATTTGAATAGCTCATTAGAAAGTTCACAAAAAATTAGTGCAGAATAGAATTTAACATTCTTTTTTAATCTACATTTTAAAGGATTAATTAGTATAAACTTACTAAAAACAAGTTATCGTTATTATTAGGATTAAAACTTTATTAAAGAAGACTGTCAGGATCCTGCTAAGCTGGCAATCGGGATTTTTTTGATTGGATATAAAAGTCCATTCAATGTTGAGTCCGATTATGTAATTTATATTGTCCTGTGACATCTGGTTCGGCCGGAGTTACCACTTTTATCGGGAAAGTTTTTATATAAAATTTCAACATGTGATATATCAATTTTATAGAGAATTTTACGTAGAATTCCATGATATTAATTTAATAAATTAATAACGTCATTTTCACCCGAAAATTGTTAGATAATCGCTTTAAAATCTTATAAATTGGGTTATATTTGTTAAATATTAATATTTCACAATTGTTACTTAAATAAACAAGTTCCTTATAAAATTCTCCACAAAATTGATATATCACATGTTTATATTTATTATTATAAAATAAACTGATAAAAGTGGTCATTGAGTTAAATAAGGTAATATTTGCTAAGCTGGCAATTTGGGTTGTACAATTTAATATAAAAGTACTCTTTATAAGAAGTCATAAAATATCATTTAGTTTGTTCTGGGACATCCGGTTCGGCCGGAGTGACCACTTTTATCGGTTTATTTTATCATAATAAATATAAATGTGATATGTCAATTTTGTGAAGAATTTTACAAGGAACTCGAATATACAGTATCAACAATGAAGGGTCATATGAAGTGAAAGGCAGGGATTGATAACGAAGCACTATTAATAAGATTAATAAGATAAGCATCGAAATTCAAAATAAAGGTGAATCTCATTTATATAAACATTTAAAATTAAAAAAAAGTTTGGCCAGGCCATTTGAACAAATATTGAAAATTGTGCACAATTATACCGCCAATGAGGATCGAACTCGCGACCCTGCACCTCGATATACACTCCATTTTACAATTCGGCCACCGTCGTAGCACAAAAAAATTGTTTTAATTTTGACTTTTTTGGCTATCGAGATTCACCTGTATTTTGAATTTCGATGCTTATTTTATTAATCCGTATAAGAAATAGTGCTTTGTTATCAGCCACAGCATATTTAGTGTCTGACTCTTGGTTAATGATACTGTATAAGTAACAATTATGAAACATTAAAATTTAACAAATATAACGTTATTATAAAGATTTTTAAGCGATTTTTAAACAATTGTTGGGTTAAAATGACGTTATTTATTAATTTAATTAATATCATCGTATTCTACGTAAAATTCTCTATAAAATTGATATATCACATGTTGACATTTTATATAAAATATTTCCCGATAAAAGTGGTCACTGCGGCCGAACCAGAGGTCACAGGACAATATAAATTACATATTCTGACTCAGCATTGAATGGACGTTCATACCCAATCAAAAGATCCCAAGTGCCAGCTTAGCAAATTCTGTATTGTATTATGACAAGGTTCTTATAGAATCTTAATTACAAATATGATTTCATAAACTAATCTTAACTAATTTTTTGTGATCTTTCTAATGAGCTATTCAAATTTGTTCTAGAACCTATGGTTAAAAAGTTAGAAACGGATTTTTGGTAAATGTTAAAAATTCAAAAGATCATAAAAAGTGCACTTTAATGACAAACAGAATGATGTTGGAATTATAAAAATCGCAATAAAAATGACCAACATAAAGTAATTTAAAAATTGAGATTGTTTAGAATAAATTATGAAAATGAAGTAAAACCTCCATGTTATTTCAATGAGAAATGTTGGTCCAACATTAAAGTTAAATTCCTAAGTTAACCTGATGAATTTGTATGGTAAATAGTACACCACCAGATTTTGACATTATCCAGCTACAATATGGTGAAAACGGATTAAAGATTGGATAATCCATTCAAAACCTATTCAACTTTTCCTGACCCGGGATAGAAGTGACCATATCTGAATATACATGTATGTCACTTATATTAAACTTGATACTGTAAAATTCCTGAGTTCTCAACTCCTCAGTTATGTACAGCTCTCAGTTATGAACTGTAAAATATTTTTTGACGGATTGCCTATACCTATAATGTTAAATACATTCTCTACTATGAACTTCCCAGTTATGTATATTTCGCTGTTATGTATGCAAAATGAGTCACTTATGTACCAAAACCTACTCTGAGTTATGTATGACGTGGTAGATATTAAGAGATAACCTGTAGTTTGCACATTAAAACATAACATTTGGGTAATTACTTTTAAAAATACCTAAAACTTTGTTGTTTTGTATGTTAAAATTGTAACAACATTATGATTTATGCATATACCAAGAAAAGTTGCTCTAAAAGTAAAGTATTGTCGGCCATATATCTCAGACAATTGCATAAGCAGGCAATCCAGATTTAATGAGATATTTCTTCAAATCAATCTGAAGTTTTATACAAGGAATTAGAAGAGAATCTAACATGGAATTACATAGAATTGTGGAAAATTAAAAATTATTTTTATTTTTTAACTTTTGTCAAAATTTTTAAAAACTCAAATAAATATTAATATTTTATAAAATATTTTTATGTCAAAGTATTTTGTATAGGATATATTGATTTTATTTTAGAAATTAATTTACAATTATATTTGGAAAATATCATCTAATCTTGATTGCCTGCTTTGGAATCTGTCTGAGATATTTTGGCAACACTATTTTATTTTCCTAGTAAATTTTTTATGCTTATAATTATGATACTAAATTAGTTTTTAGAATATTTAGTTATTTTGTTTTAATAAATTAATTTAAGAGTCAAATACCCTTATCCTTTATTATCCTTTGACCTCAAATATGCAAATAGTTTATATAATTATCTAATTTTTGTTATAAATCAGTTATAAAAGTTGTTATTGCGTGTTAAAAAGAAGACACAATTTAATTTTGATCAGATATAGTCATCATTTTAAATACATTAATTTTTAACCATTAAACATAAAGTGCCAGTTTGCTGTATTTGGGCTATGTTCTTAACATTTTTTAAACACATTTTCTGTTATGAACGCTCTCAGTTATGTACAGATTTGACATGCAATAGGCCATACATAACTCAGGAATTTCACAGTGACTTTCAAATTTTACATAAAAACTATTGAAAGCTTAAGTTTAAAGCATATTTTCTGATACACTAATGGGAATATCGGCTCAGATTTGTCTATAAAATTATCAATTAAATCAACCGATGAACAAATAGTGAAAAGGCAGAGTTTACTCATTCCGACTAATAAAAGCTTTCAAACGTAGCTTGCATTCAATGATACAAATTCAAGTAAACTTGTTTTATTCTCAATGTGGCCAAAACTAGCCTATAGACCAGTGACCTCAAAAGTTGTTTTTTACAAAAAATATGTACAACATATTTTATTTAATTTATATAGATTATCAGTAGATAAAGTACTTTACAAACACAAATATCATTACTATTTTTACATATTTAAAGTGACCTGTAAATGTGAAATTTCTAGACATTTCTATATTGATTTTTAGTAGAGAATTATAGTTTCAAAAATATTCACGAAGTTAACTCATAGAAACTAATCAGATATATTTCTATGAGTTGGTCATTATTTTATACATAAAAATACTAAAATGCTTTATTTAAAAATTACAGTTTTTAACTTCTAGTTAATATTTTCCAACTCTCACTCACACTAATGTGTACCATATTTGTGAGCCAAACATTTGAAGGATATTAAAAACGTTTGAGAGTTTGACTCCTTGGAGTCAAACTTTGAGGAGTCTGCTATAGACTATATGTTATAATGGATATAGGCTAGTTTTTGGCCAGATTGAGAATAAAACAAGTTTACAACACTAATGAATCATTAGTAAAGATTGAGCTTTTATTAGTCTGAATGAGTAAACACTTTTTGAATTCACCATTTTTATTTATCGATTGACTTAGGCGGCGTGCACAAAGTACATACGCACTGGTAGGGGGGAGGGGGGTCATGCCAAAGCGTGTCACCATGTTAAATTCCTATGTACGATGGGCGTGTAGGGGGAGGGGGGGTCAATTTTTGAACAAAATTTTGCGTACGTACTTTGTGCACGCCGCCTTAATTGATATTTTTATAGACATATATAAATCTTCAAAAATGTTGCGGTAATTTTAGCTAAATTGCAAATAGTGTTGGCTCCTCAAACTGGCCGCCCATAGGATTCATATTAAACCCCATCTGATAGTAGTCTGAGAAACCGAAACTGTTTCCACATTTTTATGGCCCAAACTGTCAATCATAAGCAAATAAATGTGTTTTACGTCTCACATACCGACCATATGTGTGCTATAGTTATATTGTTTCAGATATTGCGGCCATAGTTTGTAGTGTAGGGGCGCACCGGCAGGTGAATGGTTCATAATGAACCGGTTCTGTAGTCCTGTGTGTATTGGGTGGACGCCAGTGAGTAGGGACGTCCTACTGGTGCTCGCAGTTGTGTGGCTGTAATATTGGTTTAATACGATGCCATCGGCGGCCAATGTGTCGATGT